TGAATCGTCGCCAGCATTTATATTTCGATCTTCGGCGATCACTTGTTCCCCAAATTTGTTCCTCGAAATATTCCGCTCGTGATTTACCGCTGTTGATCACTCATCGTCAGATAAATCAAATGCGTTTCACGTTTGAAACAGTGGATTGTAAATTATTACCAAAATCGTCGGGGGAAGAAAAAAAAGAAGAACAGCTGAAAATTATCACTCACGTCGGCTGTATAAAAATATTCGAAATTTATCCTATCTACGAGAAAGAAAAGAAAAAGAAAAAAACTTCGACTCGTAAAACCAGTCCGCGATTCTCGAGAAAGGCTAACAACCTGTGTCTCGCTCTCAAAATTGAATAATCCGTCTACACGCTACATCAATGATCGTTCTCTTCGTTCGTTCGCCAGTGTTGCAAACGGCCTCTGCGTATATCCGCGAATTAATCGAAAATTTCTGCCTCTCTCGTTCCCACCGTGTATACGTGCATACATCCATCGCGAAGGAAAGTCTCCGGACTCTTTCTCGATTCGACGTTGCGCACGTACATACTGAGAAAAGAAAAAGAAAGAAAAAAAAAAAAGAGAAAAAGACAAGGTCGTTCCCAGTAGATTGGACGAAAGGAAAATAAAAAGGATCACTTCTTTAACCTTCTCTTTCTTTCCCTTTTTCTTTCTCTCGTTCTCGTCGCCGAACGCCGAGAGTCGTATTGCCGAGATTCAAGCAATAATTCAATTAGCCCTGAAGATTTAGTGGCGCGGACTCCATAATTCACGGCGCGCCGTACGAGTGAAGTAGAAATGGAAACGACTGGGAGAAACGTGGAGGCAGGGGCAGGCGAACAGAGATGGAAGACCGGCGGCTAGACCCACCTTGGCATAAATTAGAAGAACAATGCACGGGGACCAAGGTGGACGAGCGTAATGGCACTAGCCAGGGGTACACGGAGCACGCTAATAATATAAGCCGTGTGTGTTGCACCCGCTGGCCAGTCGGAAGAACGACCAGCCGAAATTTCGTGCGCGCCGACACGATTTCATACGGCTCGCGCATCCCTCCTTCCTCAATCTAACTTAAAAACGTATTATCCACGTATTAGCTACGTCTCAGGTCTAACCGTTTCGCGCTATTCTCTACTCTTACTCCTCTTACTTCTTATTTCTTTCATACGGAACTTTTCATACAGTTGCTTCATTCAATCTTGCCAAAGCTAAATCTTTTCTAAAACGAGCCCCTCGATTCACGAGAGAGTCTAGCTATTTTGGCTTAAACTTAAAATCGTCGATAGCTTCTTTCGATAGCAAATCAATCGAGTAACTGTTAATCACTCGCCGGATGTAAAGTTTGACTTTTGTCGTTAATGGTAGTGCAATGAACTGATGACGCGATTCTTTTTCCAAATTTATCAACTCGTCGCAATCGAGCAGCCGAGTGCCAAGATCTTCCAGCGGTTTAAGAAGGCGGACGAAAATTTTCCCGAAAGAGTGAAATAGGAAACTAAGAGGAGAAAGATAAATGACAGAGGGCAGAGGGAAATCGGTCGAAGTAAAAATGGAGGAATCTACTGGTGAGAGTATGGGCAGCGCAGGGTGTTGGCAGAGGGGATGCTAATAACTTCTCGGGGTCTGTGACACGGCCCCGATGTGCCGCGGAAGGAGGAACGGACAGAGGCGAAATTCATGCGTAATGTATGCGATACGCGAGAGGCATGGCACGGACGGCATGGCGTCGTTGGCCTCCCAAACAATTAGAAAGGGTCGGTCGGTGGCGTGTAGCGAGAAGCGAGAAGCCCGAGAACGAGAAAGGCCAGCGGCGAGGGTTGGCGACGTAGGGGTTGCGTTTCAATTTCGCTAGGAACCGTTATATTGCAACGTCTTCCGAAATTAAAACGCTTGGACTGCTTCCAACGTGTGCGAACGCCCGGCACGAAGATAGCGCGAGAACCAAGAGGGTAGCGCGCGCTCCGTGGCACCAATACCATTTCTCATGGAGGTAACGTACGTACTTTCTGCCACCGTATCTCGAGCAGCCGCTTTAAAACGCTTCCGTGAATTAGTCCGTTTCGTTCGGCAACGTCCCACGTCCGATGTCCGTTCGGACGTAGATCTCGTGTTCGTGAAACTCGAGACGGCTCTCGGCGCTTTCGAGGGATGATATTCTCGTGACGTCCCGTCTCTGCTGCTCTCTCGTTGTACCGAGGTGTCACCGTGTGTGTATCTCGGGAACTTTCTTGCGTTTCGTCACACGCTGTTGCGAAAGAACTCCAGGCGGAGAGATCCGAGATCGTGAGATCGAAATACATCGAGTTGCTTCGATTTGAATGCTAAATAGAACGTGTTAAACATCGACGTTCTTAGCGTTACTGTTTCTCGTTTGTCTTCATTTTTAATTACTTTGCACATCCTTTCTGTTCGTGCAACGGCGGTGAAATTACTCCAATCTTCAGAAAGAAAAAGGAAGAACATCGGGAGGGAAATGCTCATCATCGACGCCGATCGTCAAGAATAATCTCTGATAACACGAGGACGCTGACGCATCGCTCCATTTTGACACCCGTTTCACCCGATGACCACCTCGAAGAAGCAGCCCCTCTGTCGGCCCGACTGCCTATAAAAGAAGGGGGCAGCAAACCGAGAAACCGGTAAGGCCCGTGCCCTAAATTTCGCTCGATCGACTCGATAGTTTCCAAGTGAAGTGATCGAGGTCCCCTTCTTGCTTCGAAAAAAAAAAAAAAAAAAGAAAAAAAAGAAAGAAAAAGGTTACAAGACGACGGTGGACGATGACCCTTGCGGAGGTCATCCAGAAGGGTCACTGATGTCCGACCAATGACCCGGCCCCGCCCTGACACTCCCGTGTACAATTATAAATGTATTAAACCCATCCCCTTTTACAAGATAATATTTAAATCGCGGCGATGGTTTGAAGTTTAAAGGACGAGCAGGCAGACAGCCAGGCAGCCAGGCAAGAGGTTCCAGAAACGGGGTGACGGAAGTACGCCGCCGGGTCTGTTTTTATTGCGTGAGTATTGGTGTTCCCGGCGCTCGGTAGCCTCGATTTTATTGCGTGTATTTTACGTTATAAATTCACCGGGACCGTCTTTTACGCAACCCTTACCTGCGGAGAAGGTGCGCGGTCGAACGAAGAAAAAGAAAAGGATCCACGCGCGGGCCCCGTCGAATCGTCTCGACCATTTGCCTGGGACAGATTTTCGCGCGACCGGTGATTCACGACGCTCTTGGACTTTCGTTCGTTGTCTACTCGAGAGAAAGAAACGTTCGTTTCGTAGGAAATGCGATGGACTTCGACAGGGAGGAAGCAAAATTGAGAGACACTTATCGGTAGAGGATGAATTTCAATTGAAAACTTACAAATATCGATTTTCTTTCTCCCGTTGTTTAATTACTCGTGCAAGCGAATGCAATTTCAATTATTTCTTTGCCAAAAATTGTACCTAGTCTAAGAGATATATATTGTAATAGCAACACACTCTCTTCGTAGAGATTTAAATTATCGAATTAAATTAAAAACCTACAAATATCGATTTCTCTCGTTACTGTTTGATGCCTCAGTCGTTCCGAGTTACTTTAGCGACGTCCAACTATTTCTTCCTTAAAAATTGCATCTGATATATCAAAGGAAAGTAATTGCGATTTACTTAGCAATACTCTCTCCGTAGAAATGTAAGTCATTAAATTAAGTTAAAAACCTACAAGTATCGATTTCCTTTCTCCCATTATTGTCACATAATTACTCGCGTCAGGTCACTGTAATGCAATTTCAATTATTTCTTTGCCAAAAATTGTACCTAGTCTGAGAAGAAATTATATATTGTAATAGTAACATTCTCCTTAAGAGATTTAAATTATCGAATTAAATTAAGAACCTGCTGTTTAATGCCAATTATTTCTTCCCTGAAAATTATTTTACAGTTAATACTAGAACAGGGTTATTCAAATTATTCCAACTGAAAAAAAAAAAGAAAAGAAAAGGAATGGAAGTTGTTTGAACGGTGAGACACGCCATTTAATTCAAACCGGCGACCGGTAGCCGGTCTCATTTTCCGCATAATTTCTAAGCGGTCGTATTTTTGCGAGTGTGTTACAGCACCGTTTTATCGCGTGTATTTTCTGTCATAAATCCATCGGAGGACCCTCGACTTGGAAAGGGGTCTCCGGGAACCCCTTCGTACAATGACCAACACAAGTTTGAAGAGAGATACGAAGTGATAGAAGAAAGAATTTGACCGAGAAGAGGCGGAGAAGGAGAACGAGAAGAGGAGGAGGGGGAGGGAAGAAGGCAACGAGCCAGGCCTCGGACTCGGACAAAGAGAAATTGCGTACACGTTGCGTGGCGTCGTGCGTTTTTCGCGCGCGCAATAGAAACGCGCACTATGTCGTGCCAGCCTGCCTGTCGCGATTTCTCCAGACTTAGACCTCGGTCGTCCACTTTCCCAACGGTCTCTCCCGGGACATCGATATATTTTACTCTTTGTTCAATTTCGTTTCAATTCCGACGTTACGTTCGCCTCAAAAACAGATCGATCCAGCGCCCAAGCATTCTATACCGCTCGAAATAAAAGAAACTCTAGAGAGATGTATCACCGATGGACTTGGATATATATATATATATATAT